CCTACCTGCTCTATCCCATGCATAATCTCTTGTTCTGAACAGTCCATTCAGAAGCATCTCATCTCTTAGACAAGACAGCGTTTGGGGGATTCCTTTGTCCTCCGAGTTAAGTCTGAATTGTTTCGTAAGCTCCCTTGAGCGGCGGGTTGAGAGTATAACGTTTATAACTCAAATGAAATAAGTACAGGGAAAAACGGTGCTTTTGCTTTGGATGGAGTCGGTTATAAGATGAAAAATCTCTGCTGCTTCAATACCTTGATTGAAAAACTACGACAGCACATGAGACGAAATGGGGTGAATGGTATGAAATTACTGTTGATTGCAGTGGGAGATTTGGTGCAGCTTGATTATTCTATTGATGTTTGCAGACACACAGTTCCTGGATGCGTTCCCCACTTTCAAAACGTTGGCTTTCTAATGTAATTTGAACCTTCTCCGGGAGACGCAGTGCCCACCTGCGCGTGCCAAACGTCCCTTCCCGATCTCCCCGTTTAGAATCTTAAAGCACTCCCTTGAAAAGCTTTATAGAAGGGAATTTCTTTCTGCATGTAAAACCTCATTGTGGTGTTTCCACACTATGAGATGAGCTAGAAGCCAAGCGTGCGGCCTGCTCTTTTAAAAGTCAGAGGTTGGTTATATCATTTGCATGGCACGTTAGGCCTTGCGTGTGGTCTGTGTACGTGATGGTGGCAGTTCGTACGACAGCCCTGTAAGGGAGACTAGTTTGAGCTCTGTCAGGATCTGGGCTGTGCAACCAGAGGCCTAGCAGGCCCGGGGAGCCTGAGTAGCAGTGGGAGGAGGCCAGGCCTACAACTCCTAGAAGTCCTCGAGAGGTTTTGGCGCCAGTTTTAGCCAATCACAGAGAAAGGGGACTTCTAATAAAAGAGCTGGTACAGAAGGAGAGCTGTTCTTTCTTCCAGAGGGCAGAGCCAGAAGGAAGGCTGCTGCAGGGGAGAGACCCTTATCCTGAGGGAGGGGTGAGCAGACAGAGGCCCACTTGAGGCAGTGGGCGAGGGGACCGTAAGAGGGTGAGCAGACGGAGGCCCACTTGAGACCGTGGGCGAGGACGTATTAGGGCGTTTGGTTTCTTTTCTTTTCACCCCTTACTGATACTGCTCTTGCACCTTGTTTTTGTTTGCCGTATTGGGCTGGCCTCCTGTCAAAATAAACCTTTTCCCTGTTGTTTACTCTGCCCGGTCCTCAGGCTTGTTTCGGCCAAACAAGGGAGGTCTGAAGGTCTTGGGAGGGCGCTCTGGGCCTTCTCAAGGGATCCTAAAGCCAGAGTGGTGGCAGCGTCAGGTGACACCCCCACCTGAGCCGTGACGAGCTCCATCGCAGATTAGAGGCTGACTGAGGAGAGCTCATCTCAGACTGCCCAGGAGAGATTTGGAGTCTGGCCATCCTGTGGGTCTCGCCCCCGAAGTTGCACTGTGTCTCTCGTATTTCCCCCCATTGGATAGCAATGAAGTTGGAGCTGTGCTAGTCTTTATGGGTGCTATAAGCAAATCTGGGTTGCCCCTCTTTTATGGAATGGTTATAAAAGCCCCGGGCTGCTTTTTCAGACTCCAGTGGGGCTTGGGAGTTGGTTGGTGGAAAGCCAATGCAGGAACAGGATTTCACGAATAAGGATTGGAGGGGGGGGGCGACCGGGACCTGCAAGGACTTTTGGGGTAGGGAAATGGCTTCCCCCACTCCAGTTCAGTCTTCACTTTTTCACCAGTCTCCGGTTCCAGCTCTGTTTTTGTTCCTGTTACCTTTTTCTCCTCCTCCTCCTTGTTCCACCTGCCGACACGCTGTTAGGTGCCATTTCGGGTTGCTATGGGAACGCAGTGTAATGCCTGAACTTGCGGCTTTTTTTGCAGTGTCTCTCTGTGTGCAAAAACCGTTAACATTTTGGGGGTCTTTACCACCACTACCATTGTCTGGTTTTTTTTGGGGGGGAAATCCCGGTTTTGTGTGTGTTTCAATTTGGGGTTTCCCTGGGGTTTTGCTGAGGTATACATTATAGCGGGGCTGGACCATAGCATGGATTTTTTGTTTTTTTTTGTGCGGGCCAGCCTCTGACACTAGACGGCAGGATGCACGAGGAAATGAAGGGCTCAGAAGTGTGTTGCACCCTCCCTCTTTCTGGTTTTAATCGGCACAGTCCCGTCTCTGAACAAATTCCTGTTCCACCCTTTGCAGTCTGTTCATCCAGCCACAAATGCAGGGGTTTGAGGATGTCTCCTGCCAACCTGCGTTGGCTCAAGTGGTTAAGACGCTGAACTGCAGGCTGTGGAAGGTCGGTAGTTCAGCAGTTTGAGACCCGGGTGTGCCACACGACGGAGTGAGCTCCCGTCTCTAGTTCCAGCTCCTGCCAACCTAGCAGTTCGAAAGCAAGAAATTGCAAGTAGATAAATAGGGACCACTTCGGTGGGAAGGTAACAGCGTTCCGTGCGCCTTGGTGTTTAGTCATGCCGGCCACATGACCACGGAAACGTCTTCGGACAGCGCTGGCTCTTAGGCTTTGAAACGGAGATGAGCACCGCAACCCTAGAGTCGGATTCGACTGGCTTTCGAGCAAGGGAACCTTTACCTTTTACCTGCCAACCTAGCAGTTCGAAAGGAAGAAATTGCAAGTAGATAAATAGGTGCCACTTTGGTGGGAAGGTAACAGCGTTCTGTGCACCTCGGCATCTAGTCATGCCGGCCACATAACCACGGAGACGTCTTCGGACAGTGCTGGCTCTTCGGCTTGGAAACGGGGATGAGCACCGCACTCCTAGAGTCGGAGTCGACTGGCTTTCGAGCAAGGGAAACCTTTTCCTTTACCTTTTACCTATGGGATGACCGGGGACTTGTCGTGCTTCTGCCCGGGCTAGCTTGGGTTTTTGTTTCTGATGTCCTGTTTATGCCCATTTAGCCCTTTCCTCAAGGGGAAGCCCTGTCTTTTCAGCCTGGACTACCAAAGTCTCGTGCTTGGGCAAAAAAAAAAAAAAGCTGAAATGGTGCAACTGAGTTTTTGTCGTAGTCACTCGCACCCCTGCTAGGTTCTTCCGGGGTGAATCAGAATCTTTTATTGCATTTGGTGGTCTCCATTGTCCTTTACAGTGGTGGGCGCCACCTAGTGGCTCCATGTATGGAGAGGCAAGGAGTAAATAAAATGGGGCAAGTTGAAGCAGGACCAACATCGTGGACTTAAAAAACGTGTTTAACCTGAATTTGCACCACGGTACTCAATGGTAAAAACATCAGAAGAGCCCCGCTGGATCAGGCCAATAGTCCATCTAGTCCAGCATCCTGTCTCACACAGTGGCCAACCAGTTCCTCTGGAGGGCCAACAACAAGGCATAGGTGGCGAGGCCTTCTCCTGATGTTGCCTCCTGGTGCTGGTATTCAGAGGCTGACTGCCTCTGAACATGGAGGTTCCCCTCAGTCACCATGGCTAGTAGCCACTGATAGACCTCTCCTCCATGAATCTGTCCAGTCCAGTTTTAAAGCTGTTTATTCCTGTGGCCATCACTACAGAGAGCCATTTTGGTGTAGTGGTTAAGTGCGCGGACTCTAATCTGGGACAGCCGGGTTTGATTCCCCACTCCTCCACTTGTACCTGCTGGATGGCCTTGGGCAAGCCGTAGTTCTGTCAGAGCTGTTCTTGAAAAAGAGCAGTTTCTGTCAGAGCTCTCTCAGCCCCCACCTACCTTACAGGGTGTCTGTTGTGGGGAGGGGAAGGGAAAGGAGTTTGTCAGCTGCTCTGAGACTCCTTTGGGTGGTGAAGGGCGGGGTAGAAATCCAATCTCCGCCTCTTCTTTTTCCTCCTCCTCCTCCTCCTCTTCTTTCTCCTCCCGCTGCTGCTGCAGTGAATTCCATTTTGTAATCATTTTCTGTATCCTTTTGTCTGTCCTGACCGTACAGCCCATCGTCGTCACTGGATGCCCTCAGGTTCTAGTATTTGGGGAGAGGGAGAAGAAGTTCTCTTTGTCAGCTCTCTCTCCACCCCACGCCTAATTTTAGGAACCTCTACCATGTCCCCCCTTGGCTGTCTATTTTCCAAACTGAGAAGTCCCAGACTCTTCAGCTTTTCCCCACAGGGAAGGGGGCTCCAACGCCCAAATGCTTTGGAGTAAATATACTCCGGATAGTTAGAGGAAGCACATTTTCCACTAGATGGCAGCACTGTGACACCAAAGAGCCCTAGGTAGCGGAGTGAATTTCCGGAGTGCCTAAAAACAGGAACGAGGTCTGAAAAATGAAATCCCCCCAGTGTGCAGAATTAGCATTTTTAGTAAAAAAAAACCAAACCCCTGCACAAAACAAAACGCTCTCTTATCTGTACGGGATTTTTTTCTTCCTGCATTTATTTGGATTTGCATCAAATCCCTCAACACTTCCATCAGAGGCAAGGCTATTAGGAAAAACAAATGGGGAGCTCGGATACAGTCCACCGGTGTCGTCTCCCGAGCGAAGTCCTTTGAATTGTGTTTGGAGCCGCGCAAGCCCCCTAGACTACATTTCAGGAGCTGGTATCTCTGCTGCCATCTTAAATTGTCTTTTTAACGGTCATTCTCTCTTCTGGGAGGACCTGGGAAAACGCGTTCCTTCAGGCATCTTCAACAGAGAAGTCCAGCATAATTCCATTGGGGAAGCCACGGCAGTTATGCCGGTATAACGCAGATACCGGTTTGGAAAGCATAAATACTTCTTTGGTGTGTGTGTGTGTGGGGGTCTAGCTGTCGCTTCAGCTGTGGGGTTTTGCGGAGTGCTTATACTCCTCCCCCCATGGCTGATCGTCTCACTTTGGGCTCTTCTGAAAATGAAAGGTCATTCTGCACGTGACGCTGGTTCCGTGATCAGACCTCACCGTCAGCGCTCCCTCTAAGCTGTGTAGTTTTGTGTGCAAAAATTCTACTTTGTGAGCCACTGGCATTAAAGTTGTGAGCAAGCGATTTGGCCGCTGCATAAGTCTTCCTGAGCGAAGACAAAAATGTGTGTGAGCTAGAGGCTAAAAAGCTGTGAGCTGGCTCACACTAACTCAGCTTAGAGGGAACGCGGCTCACCATGTATTTGGGGAGGGGGCGCTGGAAAATTGCTTTGGGGGAGCCCAATAAGGGTTTGAGCTGTGGGGCTGAAGATCCCTGCCCCTTTTTTCTGCCCCTGTACTACTTCGCCAGTCTAAAGTGATTCAAGCAGGATGCGTCTGACCTTGACGGTGAAATGCGGATACTGGTATTTTGTGTCTGTCTTTCTCTTTATCAGGGCTACAGTTAGTCTTAGGGGGCATTTAGTGTGTGCCTGGGGGGAGGCTTAAGCTTTCCTCATTCCCAGGACCCTGGCTGCAGTACGTATTGTGGAGCTCTTTCGCAGTCTCGTCGTTGTTGCTTGTGCATGTCCCTGTCACTTCATTTTTTGTCTTTCCCCCTAGTGGTTGATTTTATATTGCATTGTGGTGTGTCCGGCGTATTTCCCTGCACTTTAAATCTGTAGGGAGAAATGCTAGACATACAGAACTATAATATCGAATCGGCCACTAGAGGGAGCAAAACACATGCAGGAAAGAATCGTGTGTGTCCGTCCACCACCACCACCACCACCCCGCCACCGGAGCAATAGGGACACACAAGCGATAATCCCTCTAAGCTGTGGAGTCTTGTGAGCAAAAATTCTACTCTGTCAGCTACTGGCATTAAAGTTGTGAGCGAGCCATTTGGCTACTGCATCCATTAGTTTGCTCTGGAGCCAATAAAAGGGAGCGTGAAACAGGGCAAAAGCCAAACAGACACGAGGGGCCGTGGCTCAGTGGCAGTACACCTGCTTGGTGTCTAGAAGGTCCCAGGTAGGAGGTGATGTGAAAGACCCAGGGAGGTGCTGCCATTTTGAACAGACGACACTTGATGGACCAAGGGTCTAATACCGTATGGCAGCGTGTGTAGTGTAGCCGGGAGATCCTAAGATTGCCTGGCAGCCAGAAGTTCTAGCTCTTTCAATGCCATGGACCCCCACTAGGTGGCGAGCTAGACTTGTTTTTAAGGCAAGAGACCTTTCAGAGGTGGTTTGCCGTTGCCTACCTCTGCGTCGCAACCCTGGTATTCCTTGGAGGTCGCCCTTCCAAATACTAGCCTGGGCTGACCCTGCTCAGCTCTCAAGATCTGACGAGATCGGGCTAGCCTGGGCTATCCAGGTCAGGTCACTGAGGTTGTGATTCGATATAAGGCAGCCCCCATGCGTTCAATTGCCCAAACAAACTCCTGCTTTGAGTTAGTGTGAGCTAGCTCACAGGTTTTTAGCCTCCAGCTCACACATTTTTGTCTTAGGTCAGGGAGGATGGCTCCAGAGCCAACTAATTGATGCAACAGCCAAATCGTTCGCTCACAACTTCAGTGCCAGTAGCTCACAAAGTAGAATGTTTGCTCACAGGACTCCACAGCTTAGAGAACATAAGAACATAAGAGAGGCCAATGTTGGATCAGGCCAAAGGCCCATCCAGCCCAACACTCTGTGTCACACAGTGGCCAGAAATACCAGGTGCCATCAGGAGGTCCACCAGTGGGGCCAGGACATTAGAAGCCCTCCCACTGTTGCACCCCCAAGCACCAAGAAGACAGAGCATCACTTGCCCCAGACTGAGAGCCCCTATCTATACCTTGTGGCTAATAGCCACTGATGGACGTCTGCTCCAGATGCTTATCCAATTCCCTCTTGAAGCTGTCCATGCTTGTAGCTGCCACCACTTCCTGTGGCAGTGAATTCCATGTCTTAATCACTCTTTGGGTGAAGAAGGACTTCCTTTTATCCGTTCTAACCCGACCGCTCAGCATTGGACGACAGGACCGTTCTGTGTGGCCTGGGATTCTGTCCGGTGACCTGATATTTTTTTCTCTCTCTATGTGTGTGTGTGTTATGTGGAAAGTATGGAGCTTAGAAAGGCTGGTGGATCTTGGCATCAAATGCATATGGCTTCCTTGACCCCCTATATGTTTTTTGCATTCCCCCCCCCAGGGTACCTTAGTGCAGCACTTGAAGGAGCACGTTCTTCACGGCAACACGACGAGTAGTGACGTCATCATGTACTACACAACGGCAAGTGTGCTTTCGGTTGGGGAAAGTCCCTTGGTGCTGCTTGGAACGAATCCGGGTGCTTCTCGTGTACCGCCCCCTTGGTTTCTGTCACTTCGGGACTGGTTTGCCTGTGGGTGGGGTGAATGGAGATCTGACTTGACCCCTCTCCGCGACCCCTTGAAATAAAGACCGTGACTGAATGAGTCAGCAGCCCGCGTAGCCCAGGCGAGCGCAGTCTCATCAGAGCTCAGTATTTGGATGGGAGGCCACCCGTGTTCCCTCTAAGCCGAGTCAGTGTGAGTTAGCTCACAGTTTTTTGGCCTCCGGCTCACAGATTTTTGTCTTAGCTCAGGGAGGAGGGCTCCAGAGCAAACTAAGGTATTCAGCAGCCAAATGGCTCGCTCACAACTTTAATGACAGGGGATTGCAAAGCAGAATTTTTGCTCACAGGACTCCACAGCTTAGAGGGAGCATTGGAGGCCACCAAGGAAGTCCACAGTTGCTTTGCAGAGGCAGGCAATGGCAAACTACCTCTGCAAATCTGTTGCCTTGCCTTGGATAGTACAAAATTTATTAGGGTGTACACATATTAAAATATATTCGGGTTAAAAAAATTTTTTTAGGTATCAGACTAAGCATATCAAATATTAATACACATGACGTTCAGCATTGGACGACAGGACCGTTCTGTGGGGCCCTGGATTCAGTCCGGTGGCCTGATATTTTTTCCCCTCTCTGTGTGTGTGTTATGTGGAAAGTATGAAGCTTAGAAAGGCAGGTGGATCTTGGCATCAAATGCATATGGCTTCCTTGACCCCCTATATTGTTTTTTGCATTCCCCCCCCCAGGGTACCTTAGTGCAGCACTTGAAGGAGCACGTTCTTCACGGCAACACGACGAGTAGTGACGTCATCATGTACTACACAACGGCAAGTGTGCTTTCGGTTGGGGAAAGTCCCTTGGTGCTGCTTGGAACGAATCCGGGTGCTTCTCGTGTACCGCCCCCTTGGTTTCTGTCACTTCGGGACTGGTTTGCCTGTGGGTGGGGTGAAGGGAGGTCTGACTTGACCCCTCTCCGCGGTCCCTCAAAAGAAAGACCGTGACTGAATGCGTCAGCAGCCCGAGTAGCCCAGGTGAGCCCAGTCTCATCAGAGCTCAGTATTTGGATGGGAGGCCACCCGTGTTCCCTCTAAGCCGAGTCAGTGTGAGCTAGCTCACAGTTTTTTGGCCTCCGGCTCACAGATTTTTGTCTTAGCTCAGGGAGGAGGGCTCCAGAGCAAACTAAGGTATTCAGCAGCCAAATGGCTCACTCACAACTTTAATGACAGGGGATCGCAAAGCAGAATTTTTGCTCACAAGACTCCACGGCTTAGAGGGAGCATTGGAGGCCACCAAGGAAGTCCACAGTTGCTGTGCAGAGGCAGGGAATGGCAAACTACCTCTGCAAGTCTGTTGCCTTGCCTTGGATAGCCCAGGCTAGCTCAGTCTCATCAGATCTCAGAAGCTATGCAGGGTCGGCCCTGGTTAGTACTTGGACGGGAGGCCACCAAGGTAGTCCAGGGTTGCTATACAGAGGCGGGCAAGGGCACACCACCTCTGTTAGTCTTTTGCCCTGGCAGCCCTACAGAGTTGCCATAAGTCTGCTGCACCTTGAGAGCACTAAATTGTTGTTAATTACTGAATGATTCAGTTGCCCCTCCCCAAAGGAAAAATTCTGTTCTAAAACCAAAGAGTTGGTCTCGAAGCTTCTTTCACTGCTTTGGAAGCTAAGTGGGGCTTGCCCGGTGTCTGAGATAAAAGTCTGCAGATGGTGGTCATGTGATGGTGCTCAGTCAGTCTCGGTGCCGTCCTTCAGCGAGAGCACTAAATTATTATTAATTACTGAATGATTCAGTTGCCCCTCCCCAAAGGAAAAATTCTGTTCTAAAACCAAAGAGTTGGTCTCGAAGCTTCTTTCACTGCTTTGGAAGCTAAGTGGGGCTTGCCCGATGTCTGAGAATAAAGTCTGCAGATGGTGGCCATGTGATGGTGCTCAGTCAGTCTCAGTGCCGTCCTTCAGAGGAAGTGGGAAATTGCTTCACAGGTCTTTCAATAGGCGAGGATGGAGTTGGCCAGTTGGCAGAAAGGAAAAATACCAAGTTAACGTACGCTGTCTTTTTCTTCTCCCTCTAGACCGGCTGGATGATGTGGAATTGGTTGGTGTCTGCTCTGGCTACGGGTGCTTCTGTGGTTCTTAGCTCACAGTTTTTTAGCCTCCAGCTCACACATTTTGGTCTTAGCTCAGGAAGGATGGCTCCAGAGCAAACCAATTTAATACAGTAGTCAAATGGCTCGCTCAGAACTTTAATGCCAGTAGCTCACAAAGTAAAATTTTTGCTCACATGACTCCACAGCTTAGAGGGAACATTGGTTCCTGGCATCTCCAGTTAAAAGGATCAGGTAGGAGGAGATGTGAAAGACCCCAGCCTGAGACCCTGGAGAGCTGCTGCCAGACTGAGTAGACAATACTGGCCTTGATAGACCAAGGGTCTCTGGTTCAGTATGAGGCAGCTTTGTGTGTTCACCTGTTAATATGCTCTGGTAGCTGAATGCTTTACAAGCTCAAGGGGCTGATCAGCGTTCACGATGCTACCGAAACAGGAGCCACAGAATAATCCTCACCTGGAGTTACACTTTGGTAGCAGGCAAGGGCGTAAACTTTCCAATTTCCCCCCCCCGGAGGGGGGGGGCTGGGCTAGAGGCATTGCTATCCTCGGTCCTTGAAATGGAAAGAAGGGAAAGGGAAGGGAAGGGAGGAAGAAAGGGAATGGAAACGAATGGAAAGCGTGGGAGGGAAAGGATGGGAAAAAGGGAAAGAAGGGAAAGAAAAAGGGAAAGAAAGAAATGGAAAGAAAAGAAAACAAGGGTAGAAAGAAATTGAAAGAAAAGGAAAGAAAGAAAGAAGAAATGGAAAGAAAAGAAAACAAGGGCAGAAAGAAATTGAAAGAAAAGGAAAGAAAAAGGGGGAAAGGGAAAGAAAGAAATTGAAAGAAGGAGATAAAGAAAGGGAAAAATGGAAAGAGAAAGAAGGGGATAAAGAAAGTGAAATATGGAAAGAGAAAGAAATTGAAAAAAAATAGATGGAGAGAGAGGAAGGAAGGGAAGGAAATAAGAACAAAAAGGAAAGAAAGAGAGGTCCCCTCTTCTACTGGGGGGCAGCCATTAGAGTGCACAGTTTGGCTCCCACCCCCATTCTAAGTGTGGGGGGGAGCCAAAGGAAGGACTGAAATGGCTTCCTGCTCTTTAAAGCCAGCAGCCAGTGGGTCCATCCGCGGGCTGCTGGCTTTAAAGGGCAGGATGCCTCTTCAGAGCTCCCTTTCACCCAGGGGAGGCTCAGTCCTTCTGGGAAATTTGTGGGAGAGCCTTAGCCCCCGAGCCCCCCCGTATTCTACGCCAGGGTTTTTTGGCTACCCAGCAGTGGATGGAGTTCAGGTACTGCAAACAGAAAACACTGCAAGAAAAAGGTTGGACTGGAGCCTTTATAGATGGCTCGTTTTGTATGTGCAGAGATGAATCTTTCTTAAAACACCTGGTTTATTCAGAAAGCTATATCCCCCGTCTCTCCTCCGAGTAGTATCGTCCATTCTGCTTATTTATTGAGCACATTTTTATCCAGCCATTCCTCTAAGGAGCTCAGGGTAGTAAACGTGACTCTCCCTCCACCTTATCCTCACAACAGCCTTGTGAGAACGACTGGCTCAGTCACCTGTTGATATAGATGGCTTGTTTTGTATGTGCAGAGATGAATCTTTCTTAAGACACCTGGTTTATTCAGAAAGCTACATCCCCCGTCTCTCCTCCAAGTAGTATCGTCCATTCTGCTTATTTATCGAGCACATTTTTATCCAGCCATTCCTCTAAGGAGCTCAGGGTAGTAAACGTGACTCTCCCTGCACCTTATCCTCACGACAGCCTTGTGAGAACGACTGGCTCAGTCACCTGTTGGCGTTCACTGTAAGAGTGGAGATCTGAACTCTCATCTCCCCCCCCCCCCCCAGTCCCAAGCAATAATCCCTCTAAACTGTGGAGTCTTGTGAGCAAAAAATCCTACTTTGTGAGCTACCGGCATTAAAGTTGTGAGCGAGCCATTTGGCTGCTGCCTACGTTAGTTGGCTCTGGAGCCCTCCTTCCTGAGCTGAGACAAAAATGTGCGAGCCTGAGGCTAAAAACCTGTGAGCTAGCTCACACTAACTTGACTTAGAGGGAACACTGGTCCCAAGCCTAGCAACCGGACCCCTTGTGATCCGTGGGCTCTCTAAATAGTTTACAAGCTTGAGGGGTTCAAGATGCAGCAGAAACGAGAGCCTCTTGGGTGACGAGCTCTTAAAGGGGATTCTCAGCTCTTAAACGTGCTGTGGCTCAGTGGCAAGCAGAAGGCCCCAGGTTCGATTCTCCAGCATCTCCAGTTGAAGGAACCGGGCAGCAGGTGTTGTGAGACCCTGGAGAGCCAGTCTGCGTCAATAATACTGGCCGTGTTGGACCACTGATCTGACTCCGTATAAGTCAGCGTCACGTGTGTTCATCGGTGCTCTTGCCTCACTGTGGTTCATGTGTGTGTGGATGACCTTACCACAGCAGCAGTATTGTGGCTTTAGGTAAGACACCGGAATAGTACGTTAGAATCATAGGGTTGGAAGTGACCTCCAGGGTCATCTAGTCCAACCCCACGCACAAGGCAGGAAATTCACCAATACCTCCCTCCCCCTACACCCCCAGTGACCCCTGCTACATGCCCACACGATGACGAAAAACCTCCAAGATACCTGGTCCCTCCCCCTAGGACAAAAATTGCTTCCTGACCCCAACATGGTGATCGGTATTTCCCTGGGCATGTAAGAAAGGGCCATGAGATCTAAGCACCGATGCAACCCTCCTTCTCATGATCTGCCTTAAGTTCACAGAACCAGCATTGCTGTCAGATGGCCATCGAGCCTCTGTTTGAAAACTTCCAAAGGAGAGCCCACCACCTCACGAGGAAGTTCACAGAATCAGCATTGCTTTCAGATGGCAATCTAGCCTCCGCTTAAACTTTTCTGATTTAATTTCAACCTGTTGACCTAGGTGTGCGCGCATGCGTGTGCAAGGGGACTGTCAGCTCTTAAATGTACGGCACGCTCTTGGGATAGAACTAGGGTGCCTTCCGCGTTAACGCTACCCCTTGGCCTCTTGATTAGTATTTAGGAAATGTATATGTCACCTCCCCAAAGACCTGCTGGAGCTGGTGGTCAAAGCCAGAACAGTGCAATAAAATCATAAAAATGTCCATGGACTTTACCAGTGTTAAAACAAATCACAAAAACAAGCCAAGAACCCGTGGGTGGGTGGATGGGCGTAAAAGAAGAAGAAGAAGAAGAGATTGGATTTATACCCCGCCCTTCACTTGGAGTCTCAGACCGGCTTACAAACTCCTTTCCCTTCCCCTCCCCACAACAGACACCCTTTGAGGTGGGTGGGGCTGAGAGAGCTCTGACACAAACTGCTCTTTCAGGAACAGCTGTGCCAGAGCTTGTGACTGACCCAAGGTCACACCAGCAGCTGCAAGTGGAGGAGTCGGGAATCAAACCCGGTTCTCCCAGATCAGAGTCCGCGCTCTTAACCACTACACCAAACTGGCTTAAACAGCGCATGGGATGATTCTGGAGGCGCCAGCAGCCGACACACTTAAGTTGTCTTGAAACCAGTTTGCCTGGGAAGGGGACCCCTAAGATGGCGGGTGTCCCCATTTCATCCTCCCGACAACCTGGTGAGGTAGGCCAGGTCGCGAGCAGGAGCCAGTGGACTTTGGTGGCTGGGGAGGGATTTGGACTCCGATCTCCCCAGTCTGTGAAGCTGGCCCCAAGGTGGATGCTCTTAAAGCACTCCCACCTCCTCTGTTATGTGTGCTTTATTCCCGGCCGTGACTGTGCCTGCTACTCTTCTCAAACAAAAGCCTCTTTCCCCCCATTGTGCCGGGAACACTTATTAATCACTTAACTGTTGTTTACACAGAGCAAACTCCAGTGCAGGAAGGGGTAGCCTTGAATTCAGAAGAATCGTTTCCAGTGAGAGAAGGGAAAG